CTGTACAGCAGACAGCTCCTTGATAAAAAAACAACCACATCCCACCATCAATGGGTTCTTTATCTTTATAGACCTCATCAATTTCTACAGTGAACCCCCCATCCATTTCTTCTTCATGTTTCTCCAGAGCATTTTGAATCTGTTTAATTTCTGTCTGTTTCAGTTCAGTCAGTTTGATTTTCTTGAGCAGGTCTTGGATGCATGATGGCAAACTGCTACGTTCATTCAAAACTTTAACAGTTATCTCCAGTTTTTGAGGCTCTGTTTTTTCCAGAAAGCCTGTGAAACTGGTCATCCCATGTGCTGAAATCTTATCAGCATGTTGGAGATCTTTTTTTTCTTCCTCTGTTCGCTCTTCTTGCTGACAGTTATCAAACAGGAAGTAAAAAGGCTCATTCTTCTCATTTTTAGCACATTTAATTTTCACAGCTTCGAGAGCTTGAAGAGAGTTTTTAGGTTTTTTTCCATTTGAGTGTGTGATGAGAGTTACAATGTTTTTCTCCAAGTCTTTTCCAAACAGAGACATCACTGCATCTAAGCTGTACTTCAGTCGGTCACTCAGTCGATTATCTGTTGCCTTCATCACCAGACCCACTGCATGAACTTCATGAACTCCATCCTTTGGTCCAAACAAGTCCAATAATCTTTGACTGATGACGTCATCATGTTCAAAGCCTGACGTGTTTCCATATCCAGGAGTATCGATGATGATCAGAGAGTAGGGCAGAATTTTATCTTCAAAACCAAAGATCTCGTACACGATAACACCAGATGTCTGAGTTTTAAACTGATTTTTGTTCTCCTCCTCTATGATCTGAAACCAGACTTCATCCTCCCATTTCACTCCCATGGTGTAGTTAAACATAGCGTTGATCAGAGTAGATTTCCCTGCTCCCGTTTCTCCCACAAGTAAGATGGTTTTATTTGGCTTACGTGGATTTTTTTCTCCAACAATCATTCTTGTCAAATTTCCAGTGTTCTCTGTCTTTGTTCTCAGCTGGTAGACAGCAGGAGGTCCTGAATGGATCAGATCACTTTCGGAGATCATGTCTTTATAGTTTGATGAATATTTAGTGTTCCTGTAAAAAATAAATACAAACAATAATAATAATAACAACAACAACAACAACAACAACAACAACAACAACAATACATAAAAGAGAGTTTAACCCGTTCATGCATGAATTATGACAACCTCAATCTGGACTATTTTCTGAAGTATTTGTATTCATCTTTAGGCATAAAAAATAGATTTTTGGACTTCATTTTTTAAAACATGTACTTTTCAAAGAGCTTTTTACATGTCCACTTAGGTGGACAACAGACATCCTGACTTATGACTTTAAAACATCAGTGTCCAATGTAGAGGTGTATGTGCAAGTATACCATCAACACTCACAAAAATACAACAAAAACAGCTTTTGACTGGCTGTCCACTGTAGGGACCACTATGCGTAAAAGGGTTCCTGTTTGGTAGTCCAGTCAATGGAGCAAACAGGCTAATACCACAACAAAATTCACCACAAACATCAGAAAAGTTAAAATCAAACTCACGTTAAGAAAGTAAGCAGCATGAGTACACCAGTGTACCTTCTGCAGAAGATTCAACACCAAGGATGATAGAGGCATAACAGAGACTACAGTTCTCAGTGAAGTTTGCAAATTTGTAATTTACTGTTTTATTAATACACACTGAAATTATTACAAACACTGCTGAGCAGTAGTTAGAAACTATTAAGCAAGGTTCTGAGGTGTAATCATAAAACAAGGCAATGGCAAAGTTTAAACTTCAATCTAGTATTATAATATAATAAAAAGAAAAAGAGAATAAGTAACAAGATTACTTCACTTAAAAAAAATCTGCCTTATGGAGTCATTAGCAAGACTGTCATTGTAGTGACTGAGGTTAAAACGAGAGGTGACAAAACTAATGACACTGTGCTTACGTAGATGTACTGATACTGGTGTTAAAAATACCCCAGTAAAAGTTGAACCACTGGCTAAATTTCTCTATTCAAGTAAAACTGAAAAAGTACAGACTCTGAAATGTAGCCAAAGCAAGGAAGTAAAAAGTAACTCTTTGGAGGAATTTTGGAGGCTTTTTGGGTGCAAAGTTAGCTGGACCTTGGAAAATAAAAACATTTCTATTTTCTGTTGTCTACAATTTAGAGGGTGACTTTGTCTCTAAACAGGAAAACGTTTACAGTCATGGGTTAAAATAGATTCAACGGGTGGAGGAACCTAAAATTGGTTGTAATGGCTAAGTGTGGGGAAAAGAACCATAACTCACAATAATTTCTATTGAGAGCTCCAGTAGATCTTCTTAGTGTAGTGGCTGTGATCAGCTGACCTGCTGTTCTTTGTGGTTTTGCACAACTGAATTCAACCAGATGCGAGCAGATGTTTCAAGAGTTGTCCTGGCTGATTTCCATCCTCTACACTGACTGTTCATGCTGTCTCTTCATCAGACACTATACAGCTTAAATGAAGGTGGAGTTCAGTAAATGGATCTAAGCATGTGAATCTTTGTTACACTTGATATAACTCTGACCATGAAACCACAGCCACTGTGTGTCAATCACACACTGTTCTTTATTCTAAATCCATTACACTACAGCAAACTAGCCTGTTTATCCTGCACCCAGAAGATTTTCATGTCACATTTAACACTGTTAGTCTGTCTCAGTTTGATTAGCAGGAGGTTTCACGATATGAAAAAAACATATTGTCACCTGTCCTCTTTCTTGTCTTTTTTCCATCTTTGAGTGAAGTTAGTGCTTTCTTTTCTCTGAAATACAACTGCTGGATATTTAGCTAAAAAGCCTGCTTTAAAAACATAGGGAGTAAAATTAAATAGTTGTTAGAGAAAAAAAATACTCAAGTAAAGTAGAGATACCCGAAAATTCTACTTAAGTAGAGCAATTAAGTTTTTCTAACCTCTGGTTAAACAGATACAGTGATACATAGCCGTCCTCATAAAAGAGAGACTGGTGTTTTCATAGAAGTACATATTAATCATTTCATTCCACATGAACACTTTTCCAGTAGTCACTAAATATTTTTGCTTTATATTTTCACAACATTACGTATTATTAATTAACTGTACGTGTCCCTTTTCATGTTTTTGCCTGCTGTTTGTAAGTCAAAGCGTTTTTGGTTCCTTCATCCACTCTGCTTTTCATCTCCTCCAGTTTCTGGACCTTGTCTGTGTCTCCTTCCTCCTTCATCTTCTCAATCAGGAAGTCGAAGTGGACAATAGTGGAT